CATCTCGTGTGTAGCTAAATCGGGGTCAACTTCACCACTACTCCAAGGGTACAATACTGATTTGAGTGTCGTGTGGAGACCTTTTTTTTAATACAATTATACAAGAATGATTTACCTCTTGACATAAAATCTAGCACTACCAAATTCATGTTTAAATCTAAATTACGCCAATATCTTTTTCTAAATCAGAATGATTCCTTCTCTAATGTTAAATAACAATTTTCTTACTTACGCATCTGAACATTCACTGTTGATTTGTATAGGTATATATTTAATTGTATGTGTATGTATGTATATGTACGAGTATATTTTTCATATTTATAAATATTGAGTATATGTGTAATTATTTATTTAATATTGTAAGAAGCACTAATTATGATGGACGACTGAGGCTTTGAAGCCGGCTACCGCAAGGGAAACCCCAAGTAGCGCCCGTGACTTGTGACACGGGTGTAGGTTTAAAGAGCTCTTTTACAATGCATTAACACTCGCCTTCACTACTTGCAGCTTCCCCCCAGGCCCAACTAACACCGGGATGAACCTATTCCTAATACAATTCACTTTAGTATCCAAAACACAACCGGCACGCTCTGCACTAGTCGACTGAATGCCGCGGCTCACCCAACCAAAGAGCATTATTCAACTACCGACCTCCCTATTTATAGACCAAAGTCAGTGTAGTAGGTTGGTCTATAAATACTAGATGGCGCTATTTACAATATCCGTAATGATCCTTACATTGGGTTCTTCATTTTAATATATTTTTAAAATATCAGATTTTTTCTACAATAATGATGTGAATTCTAACAATATTATGTATTGCATATAATTATGGACTAGTTTATAATATTTGTTATTATTATTATTATTTTTGAATTGTTATTTTAATGGTACACCTACATTTTTTTTATTATTAATATTTTTAATGCATTGCCCACTCACACAGATCTCTGTTTGCCTAATGGTTGACTGGGAGAAAATACCTCATGGTGTTAAGTCCGCCATAAGCATCTATATTTGTGTATTTATGCATAAAAGATTTAATAAATAAAAATAAAATAAATATATGTGGCCAGTGGCAATATCGGAGCAATGGTTGCAAGCGCCGTAGATTGTATCGTGTGTATTTGATACCGCATATATATATCACGGGGAGTGTTCTGAGAAATTGTTCGGATTAATACCACCTGCTGCTGAGTTTCACCACCGTACCATCCGCCAGAAACTAAAATACCATCCTAATCATCTGGATGAATGGCGGTCTTCCACAGTGCGGTTTTATAGAAACTTGCCACGCACAACCACATTGTGGAATCACCTTCCAGCATTGGTATTTCCGAGCCGATACGATATTGAAACCTTCAAGAGCTTATTCCTTTTTAAAAGGCAGACAACGTACTTGCATTTCCCCTGGTGTTGCGGGTGCTCATGGGCGGCGGTAATTACTTACCATCAGGTGAGCCGCATGCTCGTTTGTCTCCTGTGTTGTAAAATCTCTACCACTACTCCGAGGGCACACCTGCCTACAGGGCCTACCCTGGTTTTAGCGTCGTGTGAAGGCCGTTTTATTTGTAAATGTCACAAAACACCACGCTCGCGATGTAAATACAGTTCATTTTAATATTTAAGGAGCTCCTTTTGTTTAATTGATGCATGTGGTGGTTGCTTCACTCGTTAGACGGCGGTGGACAATAATGTCCATATTGTGCGGGGGAAGAGGGGCGGGAAAAGCTGTGTGGCGGGTAACAAACTATTTTTTTTTTGTTTTTTTTTATAACACAGGGGACAAACGGATGTAAGTAGCATTTCCCCTGGTGTGGCGAGTGCTCATGGGCGGCGGTAATCACTTACCATCAGTGAGCCGCATGCTCGTTTGTGTCCTGTGTTGTAAAATCTCTGCCACTACTCCGAGGGCACAATACCCTGGTTTTAGTGTCGTGTGAAGACTGTTTTATTTGTAAATGTACGAATATATATGTGGCAAACATAATTAAGCACGAGGGTAGGACACACGAGTCAGTATACGTTCTCATGTGATTATTCTCATCGGCCCCATTCTGTTGAGGACCCAATGAATTGAGCAATTTCATTTGCAATTTTTCATTTGACATCCTAAAATAACAAACATATCGAATGATGTGTGCCCACGTTGTTTGGAAAGGTCCGAACAATATTATTGGGAATCCATTGGGATTATTTTATGCATTATAATTTTATTATGGAAAAACAAATTAAAGTAAATAAAATTTGTTACATGCTTTTGTTTTTATGTACTTAATAAAGTGCGTATACTATAACTATCATATGGCAATTTTAAGCAGCAATGACGTGGTTGAGTGTCTTGAGTAGTTATGCTCACTAAATGTCCAGACATGTGGCGGCGTGGTGGGCCGGGTTATTGGGCACCCTAAAAATGGTCGAGTCGAGTGATGGCTGACTCGTCCGTCATACTCGTGAACGAGTGCTGCTTGTAGGGACTAGTCTGCTCTAATATTATTGTGTATTTAATATTTTGACCCTAATAAATTATTGCTAGTTTGTATTCACACATTCAACTAAAAAATGTAAAACTACAACGATTATTTAAAATGGCAACACCCAAATTTCTTGATCGTTCTTCTTGTGATGAGCGGTAGATTAAAAAAAATAACTATAGCTATTCAAAAGTGCTTAAATTAAGATTATTTTAATAAAGTATTTTCTATTTTTTCTATTCTTAGTTCGTATTTCATGTAGATCATGCACTAGAACTTACCGTGATTATTTTCTGCATATTTTAATTGTAGTTCCCAGGTTGAAAGGTTGAAGTTTGTATTAACCGGCGTTATAGTACCCATATTCCATTATAACCATGGACTTTTAATATACAAACGTAATGATTACAACCAGTCCCAGAATGAAGTTTGTATTAACCGGCGTTATAGTACCCATATTCCATTATAACCATGGACTTTTAATATACAAACGTAGGCTATAAGCTTGACAGAATTAGGCTACATGAGCGCTATCGCTTAGTTCCCTTATATATGACTAGTTACTTGCCCAGGCTTCGCCCGGGTGTACATGTATTATACATATAAACATTCCTCTAGAACCACTCTATCTATTTAAAGAAACCGCTTCAAAATCCGTTGCGTAGTTTTAAAGATTTAAGCATAAATAGGGACGGACAAACAGCGACCGCGACTTTCTTTTATACTATGTAATAATAATTTGTTTTATAAGAAATTCTGAATTGATTTATTGGATTTTAACATTAATACTAAAATTAGTAATCATGTTTGTATTATCTTATTACGTGAAAATAGTCATATACACTATATCACAGATTAAGAGTTTAATCAAATGGGCCACCTCCATTTTTTTATTGTTAGTTAAAAATACCTCTGGCCACCCCATCTGCGATGATAGTCGTAAAGAAGTATATTAGATTTAAACAATAATTGAACAATACACACAAAGTAATATTTTTTTTTATGAGACTGGAATTACAAATAAACATACGACCCGCTTACGGAAAGTAGAATGAATGCGGTTGAAATGCGAGCACTCAGTGTGCAGAATCTGCGGATTAACGCTGGAGGACCGTATTCGTAATACTGAAATTTGTGAGAGAATTTCAAAGTGTCGGTCGGTGTAAACTTAGAGATGGCATGCTTACGTCGGTGGGTACAGATGGAACGCGAAAGTATAAGTATGTAGGTACCAGGAACTCGTCGTCAGGGTTGAGGAAGATTTCTTGACGATTCTCGTAACTCTGACAAAAGGTTAAGAGAAACACCTTTTTGTTTATACAATATGGTGGTAAACAGGCATACGGCCCATCTGATGGTAAATGATTACTGTAGACTATGGACGCCTGAAATACCAGGGGTATCACGAGCGCGTTGCTGACATTTAAGAACCTTAATATACTCTTGAAAAACCCGTGCCGTTAAAATCGGTCCAGCCATTTCAAAGATTACCCGGAATAAACAGACAGACAGACAAGAATTGTAAAAAATGTAATTTTGGTGTATATACCCTGTTTATATTCATATGCATGTAGTGAAAAATATTACAAACAGACATTCCAATTCTATTTATATGTCTAGATGACGTAGCGTTTGGCTCTGATAATGAACTGCAGACAGCTACCTAATTAGCAATTGCTAATTGTCTCTCGATTTACTATTAATTGTAACAGATCAATTAGTAAAACCCGACCAGCAATCTACGCTGAAACTGATACGCTACAGAGGAGATCAAATATAATATCTGCAAAGCAATTCCGCTGTAGAAGCCAATAATCCTATAACTACCAACTTATGTACATCTAATATATCTACTGTATATATAAAACAACGTAGTCTTCGTATTACTAGTATAAACGCGAAAGTTTGTGAGTATGGATGGATAAAATATATAAAATAATATAGCTTATATATTTATTATACATCAGAATAACACATACATAGGCTACAGATTTCATGCAGGTGAAACTATATGAGTATAGGTAGTACTATATAAATGTTCAGATTTTAATTTGCAGTTTTAAGACTATCCATCTAGAATCATCATCAACAGAAACAGAAACATCATTATAATATTAAAAAATCAACATTATTGTATTTAGTGACAATTGGCAATTAGAAAATCTTTAAAATGTTTTAATTATTCAATGTTTTAGTCATAATTGACGACCTCGGTGGTCACTGGTTCTATTCCTTGAATAATAATAATCTCAGGACAATTCACACAGCGCCATGTGGTCTACATGTTAGGCTAGCTAAAGCTTGTGTTATGGATACGAGATAACTGATACAAATACATCCTTTTTTTCGTAAATATACATATTATACATAGAAAACACGCAGATAGATACAAACAATCATACTCATGAATACAAATACTTGAACCTTTCGAGGAATCGAACCCGCGACCATCAGAAGTAAAGCGATGTGTTAACTGCTAGACCACCGAGGCCGTCAATTAAATAGTTGGTTTTCGTTTTGTTGCAGGATTTGAAGGCACTCACGTTATGATATTCATTGGCTTCGGTTTCCTCATGACGTTCCTCAAGAAGTACTCGTACAGCGCCCTGGGGTTCAACTGGCTGCTGGCAGCGCTGGTGGTGCAGTGGGCCCTGCTCTGCCAATCGTTCTACCACATGGAAAACAACTACATCTACATCACCAAGAAATCTTTACTAGGTACTTGTAGAATTATACTCATTATCTGGGCAAAAGGGGATTGTTAGGAATGTGGACTGATGACCTCGTGGTTAGCAATGTACCATGCCAAATGATAATGAACCTTGCTACCTATATTCATAATACTCCGACATGGTACATGGTACAGGAGCAACCGCGTGGAGGTCTTGGTTGCGCCTAGAAACAATCATAATAAACTCCTGGTAAATTTGTTACATTATTCATCTTTACGCCCAACCACATTGTGGAATCACCTTCCAGCAATGGTATTTCAGAACCGATACGATATTGAAACCTTCAAGAAAAGAGCTTATTCCTTTTTAAAAGGCCGACAACGTACTTGCAATTCTCCTGGTGTTGCGGGTGCTCATGGGCGGCGGTAATCACTTACCATCAGGTGAGCCGCATGCTCGTTTGTCCCCTGTGTTATAAAAAAAATCTTATCATCCTCCACTGATATCTCACCAGCGTATACCTTTTACGCAGGCGGGTTTACTAGTCCATTATCATGCATTTTTTTCTATACGACGATGGTGGCAATCAAGCATACGGCCCATCTGATGGTAAATGGCTACCGTAGCCTATGAACCCCTGAAACACCAGGGGTATCACGAGCGCGTTGCCGACCCTAAAGAAACCTTAATATACCCTTCTTGAAAAACCCCATGCTGTAGTCTCGTGGGAAAACCTTGGCAGGAAGTTCATTCCACAATCTAAGTGTATGCATATATTTCACTGAATCACTGGCAAGAAATGCCAGGATTGACACATTTAAAAGCCCTAATATCGGGCTACTCGAACAAATACTCCAATGGACTACTGCTATTGAGTTAAAACAATATATGCATGACGACTAGGGCCCTCACAGGACACTGCAAATTGAACAAGCATATGGCCAAACTATGCACGACAAGTACTGCCAAACTGAAGAGGAAACGCCGCTTCACATCCTATGTGGTTGTAGCCCACTCATGCATAAACGAAATATCTCCTTTGGAAAGTTTACACTCTTTCCCGAGGAGATAAAAACCATCGCTCCTAAGAATATCCTTCAATTCTTGTCTGACGATTCTAGGCAGCGAACTTTGAAAAAGGGCAAGCACAATAGATCTATGTAGGTCGCAGTGCTACAGGTGCTACAAACATCTGACAATAGCCCAAAAAACCCAATAAAAAAAATCATATATTTAATGTCAACTTCCACGATACCATCCTTACAATGTACACTCACTACCAGCAGGAAAAACAGACAAACAAACAGTAAACAGGAAATATTAGTAATCATCGAATTATAGAAATCTCTTCCTGCCCACGTGTTGCCCCTTTACTATCCGAAGGGTTTTAAAATAACAGTGAAAACACCTACATGCGGACTATCAAGATGATATTCGTCTACACTTTAGAGGAAGGGGTAATATTCCCCTAGCAAGGTGACTATTAACCCCATTCCCATATACTACACTTCCCCTAGTAATTGTGACTCCATATATCAGGTCGATTCTTCCCACTTGGAAGGCATCCTTGTATATTCCTAGTGAATTTGTCGCGATGTACTGACCTGATCTCATGCTCATATCATAACCCTCGGACGGTTACCATTACAGCAGATCCTATTAATATCCTTACAAATATTATAAACTAGCTACTCGCCCCGGATTCGCCCAGGTGTACATGTATTATACATATCAACCTTCCTCTTGAATGACTCTATCTATTTAAAAAAACCGCTTCAAAATCCGTTGCGTAGTTTTAAAGATTTAAGCAAATATAGAGACGGACAGACAGCGACAGTGACTTTGTTTTGTACTATGTAATGATTTGAAAGTTGGGATGTCTGTTACGCTTTCACGCAAAAACTACTGAACCGATCATCATGAAATTTTGTACACCTGGTCTTGGACGATACTTTTTATTAAAAAAAAAATTATAAAAAAATAACGAAGAAATAAAATATCAACATATGCAACGTTAACGTCATCTAGCAGCCAATAATGAAGTTGTAAATCAATGAAGTTATACGAGCGAAGCCGCGGGTAACAGCTAGTAAATAAAATTCATATTTCTCTATACTGTGGCGGCCATTTTCGTATTCGTAACATGCTGGTATAGGCCGCGAGCCACGAGACTAAGTAGAGATGTGCTAACTCGTAATAAACATAACTCGAGTTGAAATTCAGGTAACTTGAGTAAACTCGAGTTGACTCGAGTTACCTGGGATAAACAGTTTTTTTTTTAATTTTTCGAACAAATCTAATGTTTTTGGCCGCAGCTAGCCTTGAAAGCTTCACCGAACCGTAGAGGGCGAGTAGAAATGGCACTTCAGAGCCGCGGAAGAACTTATGGAACGCATAATCATTTTAATGATGACATAACCGGACGAATATGCGAAAAAAAAATGATAACGACCTCAAATCAATATTGAAACAATTGTGACGAGTGAAAATTGTATGATATGAAATGATCGGAAAATTTCATGTCATTGTCGGTTCGATGACAGAATCTTGCTCTCGCTCTTTCACTTGATTCGTTCATTTACCAGTTGAATACTTCCAACTCGAGTTGGCAGAATTCAACTCGAGTTAACTCGAATTATGCGCAACTCGAGTTGACACATCTCTAAAACTAAGTCTGTTTTCTTTAATTAGCATGTAAAAAAACTTTGTATGTACATATATGTATAGATAACATGTCTTGTAATATCCGATATTGTTCATACAAAGTTAATATTATTTTTTACTTTTACAAGAAATGTAATGATGCTATACATAATTTGACTAGCTGTACTCGTGACTCCGTCCGCGTGGAATTTAACAAAAAGTTAAATAGAGAATTTTTCTAAAATAAAAGTAGCCTAAGTTACTCCTTATTACATCAGTTACCTGCCAAAATAAGTCCCGTCAAAATCGGTCCAGCCATTTCAGAGCTTATACGTAACAAACAGACAGACAGACAAAAATGGTAAAAAATATTAATTTGGTGTATGTACCGTGTTTATAATCATATGCATGTAGTAAAAAGCGGTTATTTCAATATTACAAACAGACACTCCATTTTTTTTTATATGTATAAATAACATGTGTTGTAATATCCGATATTGTTCATACAAAGTTAATATTATTTTTTACTTTTACAAGAAATGTAATGAAGCTATACATATTAATTGAATATTTTTATGTAATAAATTATTTAGAAAAGAAAGAAAGAAAGTAAGAAAGAAAATTTAAAAAGCAAAACGCAAATCGTTCTTCTTGCGATGAGACAGTTTTCCGAACGAGCGGTAGATTAAAAAAAGGATAACTGTGACTATTCAAAAGTGCTTAAATTAAGTTTATTTGAATAAAGGATTTTCTATTCTATTCTATTCTTTTGGTTATCCACATCAATAGCAGTAGAACAGTTTTTTTTATTTACGTACGTACTGACGTTTGATTATCCTAAACTACTGACCCGTACAACTTCGTCGGCGTAACATTTTCCCCTTTATTCCATTTTTTCCATTGCTGCTTCACTCCTGTTGGTTTCAAAGTGATGTTATATATAGCCTTCATCGATAAAAGGGCTATCCAGCACGAATTTTTCAACCCCTCCGATCGATCCCCAGTCCCATTCAAACGGGGTTCGATATTACGACGGTCTGAGCCGAGGTTCGAACCCCTAGCGGTGCCCTCAGACTAAAGTCGTACCCGTCAGGCGGGAGTTGGCCTTCAGCCGCTCCATAAGTCCTTCCTTTGGTTTGGAGTGCCATCTACACTCGCTCCCTAACGTCCGGTGAAGCTAAAGGCCAGCTGCGGCCAACAGCATAAGAGTAGTCCAAAAAAAAAAGGGATTTTTCAATTCGATATAGTACTTTCAGATATCAGAGCTTTGAAACAAATTCTTCAGCTTCATAATATTAGTATAGACCAGCTACTCGCCCCGGCTTCGCCTGGGTGTTCATGTATTATATATAAACCTTCTTCTAGAATCACTCAATATATTAAAAAAAATCCGTTGCGTAGTTTTAAAGATTTAAGCATACATAGGGACGGACAGACAGCGACAGCGACTATATTTTATAGATTTATAAATATATAAAACATAATATGTAATTAAAGGACGCCATTGCTCGTCTGTCACAAGTTTCTGATCTCAATTACCAGAGGCCGACTTCTGTAGACAACGAATCTAATAATTAACAAAAATGGAAAACATTAAGTAAATACACAATCGAATTACGAATCGAATTCGGCACTTGATGTTCCAATAAAAAAAATATGGGTTCCCCGCACAGCTTATTACCAAGTCTTTCAAGTTACATTAAAGAGAGATCCACTTTTTCGTTGTTTTTAAACAAAAATACGCGAAGAATAATTAAATAATAACATCGATGTAAATGTACCACAAGAGGATAATGTATCTCAATAAGATCCAACAATTAAAGATGATTTATTGGAACGAATGTAATCAAACAAGAAACGGGACTGTTTCATCAAATCTGAGTATAAAGAAACTAAGATATTCCCATGGGCAGACTCACTACCCACGTAAATATTGTATTGGTTTGGGAGAGATTTATAAATTTCATGCGTAATCCAGACCAATAAAAAAGGAACTTAAATTTGTTCTACAGATCACCTATATTTTTTTTCTTAAACTTATAACACTAGCTATTCACCCCGGCTCCGCACGGGTGTACATATATTACATATATAAACCATCCTCTTGAATCACTGTATCTATTAAAAAAACCGCTTCAAAATCCGTTGCGAAGTTTTAAAGATTTAAGCATACATAGGGACGGACAGACAGCTTTATTGCCTATTAGAGCTCACGACGGCCAGACATTGGTCTTATTAGTGAATGTGAAAGTTCTTGTATGTGTGTCCCCAACACAGGTAAGAACGATCCCCAAACATGAAACCTGGATCGTGGTTCCTTTGGCAGGTAACAGGTAACAAAGGTGTAAAAATTTTCATATCAAATTCGTTATTTTATGAAACTCAATTTTTTCACATATTGTTTGTAACAGTATTATTATAACTTGCGCTGCTCATTGCCAGACCCTTAGCATGGTTGCAACCCCCCGCCGGACACCCCTAAACTATATTATTTCATAAATATAAACTACATTAAAGCTGAAGTTTATATATATTATTCAAAGAACTATTAAACTGTGTTTCCTAAATTACCAGACAGTTTTGTTGGTTCTATCGTCCTACCAGACGCATTGAAACCGTATATTGGGTAACAATGGAGTATACAATTTCATATCAAATTCGTTATTTTATGAAACTCAATTTTTTCACATATTGTTCGTAACAGTATTATAACTTGCGCTGCTCATTGCCAGACCCTTAGTGTGGTTCCAACCCCCCGCCGGACACCCCTAAACTATATTATTTCATAAATATAAACTACATTAAAGCTGAAGTTTATATATATTATTCAGAGAACTATTAAACTGTGTTTCCTAAATTACCAGACAGTTTTGTTGGTTCTATCGTCCTACCAGACGCATTGAAACCGTATATTGGGTAACAACGGTGTAAACAATTTCATATCAAATTCGTTACTTTATTAAACTAAATTTTTTTACTCGTAACTGTTGTAGTAATAAGAAAAAAGACTTGGTAAAACGTAGAAAATATATTAATAATAGAGAACTAACATATTGACAACAGAAAGAATGAATTGAAGTATCAAAAACAAGAATGTAATATAAAACAAACTATAAATTTAAATACAAATTTAGAATATAAAATACATATCTGATTAGCCAACAACAGTAACAAAAATAAATAGCAACACAACGTTAAAAATCCGTTTAGTAGTTGTTGCGTGAAAGAGTAACAAACATCCATCCACCCAGCTATGTATAATCACAAACTTTCTCTCTCATTTATAATATTAGTAAGAATAGAATAGAATAGAAAATCATTTATTCAAATAAACTTACATTGAAGCACTTTTGAATAGTCATCACATTTTTTTTAATCTACCGCTCATTCGGAAAGCTGTCTCGTCACAAGAAGAACGAGCAAGAAACTTGCGTGTTGCTCTTTTAAATAATTTTATTCTTACTATACAATTTAAGTTTAAGTGTGTGAATACAAACTACCGATTAGCACTAATTCAATTAAATAATCAAATAGAAAAAATATTGAATACACAACAACTGGTTACACAATTAATAAGAGGAAATCAGTCATAGTGATTAGAGCAGACCAGTCCCTACAAGCACCACCCGTTCACGAGTATGACGGATGAGCCAGTCATCACTGCGCTCGACCATATTTTAGGGAGCCCAATGACCCGGCCCACCACGCCGCCACAAGTCTGGACATTTTAGTGAGCATGACTACTCAAAACACTAGACCACGTCATAACTACTCACACTTGCCACAGTCATAGTATTCATATTTTACATAAATTATTATGCATGCTGCAATCAATACAAAAACCGCTACGCTTTCATATTCCCAAAATAATTAAATCAAGAAAGCAATGAGATAAATAAATTATAACGTTGTATGCTAATGAACTAATTATTTACTTGATATGTTGTCATCTATGAATTCGTCTATCCTGTAATAGGCTTTCTTACGCAAAAATTGTTTAATATAAGATTTAAATTGCCTCTCTGTTAGATTTAGTGCAGATTCTGGCAGTTTATTATAGAATCTTACGCAATTACCATATAATGAATTACTGACTTTGTGCAGACAGCATTTAGGTAAAATTAGCTTATTTTCATTGTGTAAGTTTCTACTTGTACAGTCTTTGAGTTTTTTAAAACTCTCTAAATTCTTCCTTGTAGACATGATATTTTCATAAATGTATTGTGAAGTAACGGTGAGGATATTTGATTCTTTAAAGCACTGACGTAATGACGATAAGATGTTTAGCCGTCGGCCATGTTTCTTTCTTGTTAGCCCATTAAAACTACTCAATACTTGTCGTTTTATTTTTCATTCCCGTAAGAATTCCCTGAAATCCTTTCTTTCGGGATCCCCGCCCTTCGTAAAAGGTTACGGTATCAAAACTGTCTTGTTATCCCACTGTTTATCTAAGTATAGTGATAATGTGATATACACTTACGTATATGATAATCCAAGTATTATTCAACATGTCTGTGAGAGTGACAGCCTTTTGGTAGAAAGTGGAGTAATCTATACATATATAAAACTGGAGTATCTGTTTGTAATAATGAAACAACCATTTTTTACTACATGCATATGAATATAAATATGGTACATACACCAAAATATCATTTTTTACAATTTTTGTCTGTCTGTCTGTCGTTCTGTTTGTTCCGGCTAATCTCTGAAATGGCTGGATCGATTTTGAGGGGATTTTTTTTGGCAGGTAGTTGATGTAATAAGAAGTAACTTAAGCTACTTTTATTTTAGAAAAATCTAGTCAAAATCCACGCGGACGAAGTCTCAGATACAGCATAAATATTTTCACTTACTTGTTCTTATTATCGACCTCGGTGCTCTAGCGGTCTAACACATCGCTTTACGACCGATGGTCGCGGGTTCGATTCCTCGCACGGCACAAACATTTGTATTCATGAGTATGATTGTTTGTATCGGTCTAGATGTTATCTATGTATATTATGAATGTATTTACAAAAAAAATATCTGAGTTAACTGATACATATCAGTAATCTACTCGTAGTACCCATAACACAAGCTTTAGCTAACTTAACTTGGGTCTAGATGGAGCTGTGTGAATTGTCCTGAGATTATTATTATTATTATTATTATTATATTCGTGTTCAGGACTCATGTTGCATACTCTAAATATACGTAATGTTGTTATTGTAGAAGCAGACATCATGGCGGCCACGGTGCTAATCACGTTTGGAGCGTTGCTCGGAATAGCAAGCGGCATACAGTTGCTATTCATTGCTATTGTTGAAACCGCAGTGGCCTGTCTAAATCTTTGGTTGGTGACAGACGTATTCAAGGTTTGTACTTAATTTCGGACTACTCTAATGCTGTTGGCCGCAGCTGGCCTTTACAGCTTCACCGGACGATAGGGGGCGAGTGCAGATGGCACTGCAAACCCGCGGAAGGACTTATGGAGCGGCTGAAGGCCAACCGCCTGACGGATACGACTTTAATCTAAGGGCACTGTTAGGGGTTCGAACCTCGGCTCAGGCCATTTTTGAAAACCCCCTTCCGATCGATCCCCCGTCAAGTTCAAACTATTGTACTATTATATTACTTTACTTAGTACAGATAAGATTACAGTGGGATAACAACGTTTATAACGTCACATCTTTAACATCTTTACATAGTATAAAAAGAAGTCGCTTCCTATGTCTGTTCGCTTAGATCTATTAAACTACGCAACGGATTTTAATGCAGTGTTTAGCAATAGATTGAGTGATTCAAGAGGAATGTTTATATGTATAATATAAAATAAACTCAGGGCAATTCACACAGCGCCATCTAGACCTAATTTAAGCTAGCTAAAGCTTGTATTATGGGTACTAGATAACTGATACATATACACAGATATTTTTTGTAAATACATACATATTATACATAAAAAACATCCAGACGGATACAAACAATCATACTCATGAATACAAATGTTTGTGCCGTGCGAGGAATCGAACCCGCGACCATCGGTCGTAAAGCGGTATGCTAGACCGCTAGACCACCGAGGTCGTCAAATAATACCTACATGTACATACGTATGAAGCCGGGGCAGGCGGATAGTTAAATATAAATACAATGCTTACAACCTAAGTATGGTTTAAAAAATATTAGTAGCCATTTTACGCCAATAGCTGGTAAATGTTGTATTGTACTGAAACTAATATTCAATCAATTTAAATTTGTTATTAAACACTCACTGTTTCTTGCCAATTCTCAATTGAAACAATACCACGAACCAAAATTATACGGAACAGAAATTATGTAAAAATAAATAAGTGGCTGAAATGTTCTACATGAATCAATAAGTTTGAGTTTAAACAAAAATTACGATCTGAACAAGTACGTACCTTAACGTACCTTAAGAAAACGATAAATGAAATACAGGTGAATTATCAAAATGACACAGGTGTATAATTATAATAATAATTAAAATAAAAAAGAAAATAAGAAAAATAGACATATTAAGACCATAAGAAAAAAGAGGTATGAAAAATTACAATAAGATACCAAAGGATATATACTAGAATTACCCTTAAGTAAGTTCAAAACATCTGTTAAATCATATTTACTGAGCAAAGCCTATTACTCACTAAACGATTACTTGAATGACGAGCGTGCATGGCAATAGTTGTTCATGCAATTGATTTTTATTAATGTTAGACATAGATACCTATATAAATATACATTGTAAATAAACTGGCTTTAAAAAAAAGTAATTCAATTGAGTATCTTACCAATTCTTCTCAATTGGATCTATATACCGAACTGGACGGTAGGGAAAAAATTAAAAATATAATGTAAAAATTAGACGTTCATAAGCGGCTAAAATGTCCTACATGAATAAATTATTTTTTAATTTGAATTTGAATTTGAGCGAAGAAGAAAAAGATAAGCCAGGGATCGTGACAAAATTTTAAAGTCCACTGACAAAATGTAGAGTATTTTTAATTGTTACGTACATACATGGCAGGTACATAAACTCGTACATCAAAAGCAACGTACGTGAACTATAACTTCATTTTTATTTCTGTAATAAACACACGACGCTTTGTAAAGCATTTTTAAACTTGTGCATAACATTCGTAGAATACTCAGCGAGATGTCTATGGTATGTAGAGCTCTAGATTTCAGGCTACACCTAACTCAATAGAAATAGAAATAATCTTTATTCAAATAAACTCAATACAAGCACTTTTGAATAGTCATATTTTTTATTCTACCACTCATTCGGAACGCAGACTCGACACGAGAGGAACGGGCAAGAAACTTGTGTGTTTCTCTTTTGAATAAATGGTATTTTAAATAAATACATACATATATAGTAGTAACAAGTAGGAGGCGTGTGGTAATCAACATAGAAACTGCTACGTAGTCATTCTTTGTGCAATCAGATAATATTATCAGAGCTATGTAAAATGTACCTCAAACCTGACAAATGTGTAAATGTATATTTATATCAATAATGGTTGTCATTAAATGTATTTCTTCTTCTTAATAATAATTATTACATTAGTAAAAGCCTACGTAATAATAACAAACTATCTAAATGACGTGTTAGTAACTCATTTTAAGTTAATTGCTCAAGGTTTTACAACAAACTGATAATATTTCTGATTACACTAGTAACTGGGTACACTGCAGTCGCAAAAATATTTATTTTTTGTCTATGGACTAGACTGAAGATATTTTTTTTATAAATTTACTAGCTACTCGCCCCGGGTTTGCATGGGTATACATATATTATATATATAGCCCTTCCACTTGAATCACTCTATTAAAAACCGCTTCAAAATTCGTAGCGTAGTTCGAGCGCAATGATGGGTGCTCATCACGAGTATGACGGATGCGCCCGTCATACTCGTGATGAGATCACGCTCTTATCACTACGACTGATTTAATCTTATTGTGTATTTATATTTGACCCTAATAAATTTGTGCTGGTTGATAGTTTGTATTCACACGTTTCGACTTGAAAAATGTGAACTTACAAGGATTGTTTAAAAGAGCAACACACAAGTTTCTTGCGCGTTCTTCTTGTACAGCTTTCCAAATAGAGTAAGAGTGATAGAATAAAAAAAAATGTTATGACTATTCAAAAGTGTTTAAATGAAGTTTATTTGAATAAATGATTTTCTATTCTATTCTTAAACACTTAAGCTTACATAGGGACAGACAGCGACAGCGACTTTGTTTTATGATGTGTATGTACTATGTAATGATGATGATTATTTTTATTTCAGGCAGCTGATGTTGGTGGCTCAATAGCAATACACACGTTTGGTGCGTACTTTGGCCTCGGTGTCAGTGCGGCGCTGAGAAATAAAAAAACGGATCCAGCTGGTGGTAACGGTCACACGGTACAAACAGTCGACCTCAATGGACCCAGCTATGTGTCAGATGTCACTGCCATGATAGGTGAGTCTGTTCACTACCATTTTGTAAACCTAAATGATGTTACAAACGAATTTGATCCTTTTGTATCATTGTAATAGAATAGTATATTACACGAGATTCAAACTAACCTAATATTTTTAATAATAATAATAATAAGACAACAGTGATAATAATAATAATCTCAGGACATATCACACAGCGCCATCTAAACCCAAGTTAAGCTAAAGCTTGTGTTATGGGTACTAGATAACTGATACAAATACATAGATACATTTTTATTCGTATATACATAAATATTATATATAGAAACACCCAGACCATTAATAATCATACTCATGAATACAAATGTTTTTTGCCGTGTGAAGAATCGAGCCCGCGACCGTCGGAAGTAAGACGTTGTGGTAAACCGCTAGACCGATTAATCTAAATATATATAACTCAAAGGTGACTGACACAGTGATCTATCAACGCACAGCCAAAACAGCTGGACGGATCGGGCTGAAATTTAGCATGCAGGGAGATGTTATGACGTAGGCATCCGCTAAGAAAGGATTTTGATTCATTCTACCCCTAAAGGTATAAAATAGGGGATGAAAGTTTGTATGAAACTTTGTCAATTTTAAACCGATCGGGCTGAGACTTTGCATGCATAAAGCTACTATGACGTAGGCGTCCCCTAAGAAACGATTTTGATAAGTTCCACCCCTAAGAGGATAAATTAACGCAAGCGAAGCCGCGGGCAAAAGCTAGTATTATATATAAATAAATTAATTACCATGTGTCCAAAAGCAGAGTACCTTTATACGTACACAGGGCCCTCCATCATTATAGTAAATAGATACTAAAATTAGAGCAAGTACACAAATATACTACTGTCAAAGTTTAACAAATATTATACAATCGTAGATTCTGTGAAATATTCAAAATCGAATCTCCAATGGACCGCACAAGTCTACACCTCAACTCAGACAAAGTGATTGACAGAATACCCGGAACAATTTTGTATTCATTTCCAATAGAGCAGTGCTGCACGTTGGGTCGAACATTAAAATTTCAGTAATTACAGATATAACTTCAACAATTCCATAATTATAATCTCTTAATAATGTTAATAATAATAATATTTTGTGTTTGAATATATTACCCCCGTAAAAAGGGAGATATAATAAATATATATATATAATTATAATAATAATCTCAGGACAATTCACACAGCGCCATCTAGACCCAAGTTAAGCTAGATAAAGCTTATGTTACGGGCACTAGATAACTAATACAAATATTATACATATACATATATATTTTCGTAAATACATAGAAAACACCCAGATACAAACAATCATACTCATGAATCTTTCAATTCTTGTCCCTGACGGGTCTAGGTAACGAATTCTGAAAGGGGGCGAGTACATTAGATCAATACAGGTCGCAGTGCTACAGGTGCTACCGGCACCTGAGAATTTATAAAAAAATAATCTACGTACAGAGCTATCAGTTGTACCCATAACACAAGCTCTGTTTATCTCGGATTCCTAAGAATATCCTTCAATTCTTGTCCCTGACGGGTCTAGGTAGCGAACTTTGAAAAAGGGCGAGCACAATAGATCTATGTAGGTCGCAGTGCTACAGGTTCAGGTACCTGACAATAGCCCAAACAACCCAATAAAAAAAAATCAATAATTGGTGTTAAAGAAAAAAAAATCAAAAATCCGATTATATTAAAAAATTTATACTAAACGCGAAAATAATAATAAATATTTTTTTTTATACTACTATGGTGGCAAACGATCATACGGCCCATCTGATGGTAAATGGGTATCGTAGCCTATGGACGCCTGAAACACCAGGGGTAAATGTAAATGTAATTGTATGTTGGACTCCAGTATCCGCAATTAGCCTCTCATTCGGGCCGTTGTGCGTGCAGAGCCAGACTACTAACGTAGCCAGCCAAAAGCGCAGAAGACTGCTGGTGTCTTCACAGGCTTCACGGAGCGACCTCACCATTCCGAGGATTTGTTTTCGTTGTTGGGCCACTGCCGTGCACTCCAGGATTACGTGAGCCGCCGTTTCTTCAGCTTCAAAGCAGCCCCGACAAAGGGGGCTGTCTGTAGCATCAATTTTGTATAAGTGTTTGTTTAAGGAACAATGGCCCGTTATTGTCCCTATCATTATTTTGAGGTTATGTCTATCTAGATTAAGTAGAAACAAATACCAGGGGTATACGTGCGCGATCTCAACCAAACCTTGACTGCCAATATCCCAAACAACCCAATAAAAAAGCTACTGGTTTCAATAAGCAAAATCACCCTCGCCAAAGGTGTCGACCTTCCGTCTGACTGTAATATCTACTAGTGGATTTAGCAATGACATGCAATCTTACCGTCTGCAATACTGGAAATCATCCCACCTTCACCTCCACTACAGTCGATACCATCCACGAATCCATAGTGGACATCACGCTGGCCTCAGGACGAGCTGCAGATAGGATAGCGGACTGGAAAGTCAATCCCGACATCTGCCCGGCATCGGATCACCACGGCATTGAATTCTATTACTACATCAAAAAACGAATCCTGAAAAAACAAGCCAAACTTACCACGTTCAAGTACGCCACCTCTGGAACATGCTGGAACGAATTCAAAGAAAAACTTACCGATCATCTCCCCCTGGAAATAAAAGACCACAATAGAATCTCTAACATGAACTCTACAGAACTAGATAGCTACATACACAGTCTAACCAATAGCATACAAACCTTCTGCGACGATCAGCTTCCCTGCTCCCGGCCCCGTGAAGCCCGATGCCCGTGGTGGAACGATGACCTGGAACAAAGTAAAGCAAAGGTTATTAAACAACATCATAAACTCTGTAGGTTAAAAAGACAGGGTAGACCGCTGGATGAAGCAATAGCTTTAAAAAACTCCCTTCGATTGGAATACTCAAAGCTGTTCAGTGAGTATTCCAACAAGCACTTCCGCGAATTCTGCAATAGACAGGGAAAAGAGGATGTATGGGCTGTCACAAATAGAATTATTAAAACCGCACCTGCACCGCAACCTCCAACTACAATACAAAAACCCGATGGGACTTTCACCCAAACCCCAATTGAAACAGCCGAAGCTATTCTCCATAAATTTTTCCCTGATGATACGCCGGACACTAGGCAGGCCCACCTGGAACATAGAATACAGTCAAATCTACCCCCTCCCAATACCCCTAATGAACCCCCTTTCACCATAGATGAAGTCCTCCTAACTGCTAAAGAAAGCAATCCAAAAAAAGCTCCCGGACCAGATCACCTTACCGCCGACATTATTGTTGCAGTCGTCGAATCCATTCCCGAAGTAATCACCACCGTCATGAACAGATGCCTTGCGATAGGACATTTCCCTACGATTTGGAAGGTAGCACGCATCAAACTCATCCCAAAGAATGGTCAACAGAGTAACGCCAATAGCCTTACCTCTAGACCAATAGGTCTCCTCAACATCCTAGGAAAGCTATTGGAAAAACTCGTCATGCAACGCCTCACTCATCACATCTACACCACAAACGTCAACAACTCCCGTCAATATGGTTTCAAACCCCAAGTCTCCACCGCACACGCTTTAGATAATGCCATCAGCAAAATTAGAACAGCCTCAACATCCGGCTACCAAGTCCTAGCCGTATCCCTTGATATCAAAGCCGCCTTTGATCACGCTTGGTGGCCTAACATCCTAAATAGACTTAGACTCATCGGTTGCCCCAGAAACGTATACGCTGTTCTGGCCAGCTATCTGAGGGACAGAACAGTCTCACTAAATCTGGCAGATGCCTCAGCCGCCAAACCACTGTCGAGAGGTTGCATACAGGGTTCTGTATGTGGGCCGGCAATGTGGAACCTGGTCCTGGACGGGCTTTTCGACCTGAGCCTTCCGGAAGGATGCCATCTTCAAGCATTCGCTGATGATGTGCTCCTGATTGTTCAGGCGAAAAGCGCGGCCACACTTCAGGAGACCGCGGATGAGGCTCTGCATCAAATTCACAACTGGGGTTTAGATTCCAAACTCTCATTCGGACCATCCAAAACTGTCGCCATCACCTTCACCAGTAAAGCTCGTAAGTGCCGTATCTATATGGACGGTCACATCATCCCATTTCATAACCATATCAAACTACTCGGAGTCATCATCGATCGCAAACTCACCTTCATCCAACATGTCAACCACACCATCGACAAATGTAAAAAATTATACCATAAAATCATCAAATTCATCCGTCCCACATGGGGTGTCAGCCCCGGAAACATTAGAACCATCTATCATCAAGTCATTGAACCCATTATCTGTTACGCTTCCGGAATTTGGAGCTCAGCGCTCAAATTCAAACTCTGTCAAACCAAACTCACCTCATTGCAACGATCATTCGCTATCACCATCATCAGAGGGTTCAGGACGATCAGCACACCCGCGGCTATCGTCCTGGCCGGTCTTCATCCCATATGTGGCAGGGTTCGGGCGGCTGCGCAGGCCGAGCTTGCTCGGGTGCGCAGAGTAGCCGGAATTCTGCCACATGACATTCCACTCGACTCACCCACTCCACCATCCGATCTCCTACATCCTAGGCAGAGAAGGGGAATCTCCTTCATGGAGGCCGACTCTGCCGAGGAACTCACACACATTCTCGACCCCACTTCATTCACTTGCTACACTGACGGTAGTAAGCACCACGGCAAGGTCGGTGCAGCGGTCGTCATCCGGAACCCGAGCGGCTCTACAGTTCTGAGCAAGAAGCTCAAACTGCATGATGTCTGTTCGGTGTTTCAAGCGGAGATGGCCGCCATCGATCAAGCATGCCAACTCATCATCACGAAAAAACTGTCACCCGCAATCATCCTCACGGACAGCAAGTCATCGCTGATGGAACTGTCCAATCATAACAGCACCAATCATCTTTGTAACAACATTTTTAAATTACTCCATCTAGCCAAACATCACAACATCAACATTTCATTCATTTGGATCAGATCACACATCGGGATACCTGGTAATGAGGAGGCCGACCTCGCGGCCAAATCAGCAGCCAACTCCCATTCATCCCCTTCATTCTCCAAATTCCCCCTCAGCTACATAAAACATCACTTCATGCAGTTAAGTAAAGCCGAACTAGAGGACTTATACGACACGACAGACAATTGCCAGTATACCAAGCAGTGGTGCAGCAATTACGCTGAGCTGCTGCTTGTGATACAAGCCTTCCCTCCAAACTTTCATTTCACCCAGCTTCTCACCGGTCATTCATACTGCAAATCATACCTCAAACGGTTCGGGATCACCTCGGACGACAAATGCCCTTGCAACGATGATGCTCCGCAAACTATGGAGCATCTCGTCAAGGAGTGTCCGAGGTTTGGTCCCACGAGGCTCGACCATGAGACGGCTTGTAGCATGGTTCGGGTCTCAGAACCATTCCATCTCCCATCCATCATCAAACATCAATCAACCATCGACACTTTCACATCACACATATCATACATCATTCACAACCTCAAACATTTCAATCAAACATAATCATCATCACCAACATTCCCATACCTCTATCATCAACATTCTCATACCATCATCATATCCATACCATCGTCATCCAAACCACCAACGTCTTTATTTTGTTTCCTTTTTTCTTCGTTTTGTTATTTTGTTTAATCTTTCATTTGTTTCGTTTTACATCTATTGTCGTTTTGTTTTGTTCCTTTACTTGTTTCATATTGTTTTGTCTTCGTTAATTTTTATTTTTGTTGTTACTTGGTTAATTTTGTTTTATTATAATATTTAATAATGTTATATATATCTATAAAAATGTATATATTACAACAAGCGAATTCAATTTTACACCTAATAAAAACATAAGTTGAAAAAATCCGTTCCAACTCTGCTGAAGCGAGCGTAAACCAAAAGCGCAAACGCTAAGGCATAAGAGTACATTAAACAGACTCTCAATTAAAAAAAAAAAAAAATATCTACTAGTAACTTTTTAATTCCCATAATTAATTCTCAACGGAAAGAGAAACAATTTTCATTAGTAAATAAGCTGGCTGTAGGTAAGTGAAGTACCCACTCGGCGTTCAATTTATTCAAATCATGATACTAGCTTTGTTTTGTAATTTAAAGTAATTAAAACAAATCCGTGGAGCAGTAGCTTCGCTTTAAAATCTAATTTGTGAACGTAACTTAATTTATATTTTCCAACATCGATATTCAATTGATAGCTTAGAACAAACATTTTATTTATTTTATTAATACTTATATTAGAAACGCGAAAGTTTGTGTTTATTTATTTTTAAGGATTACCAACGTTAGATACAGCAACAAAAATCTGTCGTGATTCTATACAATTCTAATGATCTTATATTTTTTCGGACTACTCTACTGCTGGCCGCAGCTGGCCTTTACAGCTTCACCGGACGATAGGGGGCGAGTGCAGATGGCACTCCAAACCAAAGGAAGGACTTATAGAGCGGCTGAAAGCCAACTCCTGCCTGACGGATACGACTTTAGTCTGAGGGCACCGCTAGGGGTTCGAACCTCGGTTCAGGCCATCGTAATATCGATCCCCGTTTGAATTGGATGGGGGATCAATCGGAAGGGAGTTCTTATACCAACTGTTCCCGTATTTATAGGTAGGTATTTACAGCATGCTTTGAGTTTCAAGATATATGCATATATATAGTAGTATATTATATATGTCAATAATATGTACATCTATACATATAAATAAAATTGGAGTGTCTGTTTGTAATATTGAAATTACAGTTTTTTACTACATGCATATGAATATAAATACACGGTACGGTACATACACCAAAATAACATTTTTTACAATTTTTGGTCTGTCTGTCTATTTGTCTGTTTGTTCCGGCTAATCTCTGAAATGGCTGGACAGATTTTGATGGGACTTTTATTGGTAGGTAGCTGATGTAATAAGGAGTAATTTAAGCTACTTTTATTTTAGAAAAATAAAGTTAAATTCCACGCGGACGAAGTCGCGGGTACAATTAGTATTAATTCAAGTTGAATGTTACTAATTGCTTATATGCTTGGTTGGATGGATGTTTGTAACTGTTTCACGCAAAAACTACTGAACGGATTTTGATTAAATTTTACAGTAATATAGCTTATACATTAGAATAATACGTAAGCTATAAATTTAATGTATTTATAACTGCGGGCACTACTAGTTAGATTATGTATTGATATTATTTTTTAGATGGATATTACTATCAAAATATAGGTAATGCTATTTTTAAACTTTCGAGTTTATTATACACTAGCTACTCGCCCCGGCTTCGCCCGGGTGTACGTGTATTGTACATATAAACCTTCCTATTGAATCACTGTATCTGTTAAAAAAAACGCTTCAAAATCCGTTGCGTAGTTTTAGAGATTTAAGCATACATAGGGACAGACAGCGACAGCGACTTTATTTTATATTATGTAATGATTATTTTTATCATTATCCGGATCTTAACACGATACTTAAGTCGTGTTAAGATCCGGTTATACTATGTAATGATTATTTTTATTAATAACCGGATCTTAACACGATACTTAAGTCGTGTTAAGATCCGGTTAATAATATAAATAAGTAATGCCATCCGTGTATTCGATATTTCTGAATCATCTTCTATACATATAAATAAAATTGGAGTGTCTGTTTGTAATATTGCAATTACCGTATTTTACTACATCCATATGAATATAAATACGGTACAAACACCAAAATAACATTTTTTACAATTTTTATCTGTCTGTCTGTTTGTACAGGCTAATCTCTGAAATGGCTTAACCGATTTTGACGGAACTTCTATTGGTAGGTAGCAGATATAATAGGAGTAATTTAGGTTACTTTTATTTTAGAATAATTCTTTTACTTTAGAAAAATATAGGTAAACTCCGCGCAGACGAAGTCGCAGGAACAGCAAGTAATAAATAATAATGGAATGTTGGGTATTATTGAGTTCCCCATATTTGTACGGTATTATAACCGCCGTAATTACGGCTCAACTGAACAGTACATTGTGAGCTGATGTATTGATCTATCTTCACACGTCTTCATTTGTTATTACTATCGAAACTCGCTCGATAATCATCTTCTCACACAACACCCACCATATCTACATACGTGTTGTATTTTGTATGTTGCATGATATTTTTTCAAACACATTTTAGTATCATTAAATAATATTATCTTATCTGTGAAATGTGTCTCTATGAAATGTCCAAAAATGAGAAAAAAACACATTATATATTATATTATAATTATAATAAAATATACAATAATAAATAAAATAAACATAAATAAAAGATATATATATATATATATATATGACGAAACGATTATACCACAGATAACATAATATTACATAATTATACTAAGGTCGATAAATAGTGTGATTTTAACCTTTTCTTAAAGCAACCAATTGATGAACTTTCTTGTATATATTATTAATTTTAACAATATTTAGACGTATCAAGAATTAAAGAGCATTATGGAAGATCGCTGAAAGTGGCAAGAGCACCACCGACAAGAGTGTAGCTCTTAAATTATGAATGAATTAATGATGATTTTAATATTACGACTAAATAATAATTGCAATTTATTACAAAAATTATATTTCTTATTCAATCTTCTTATAATCGAAATTAATGAAATAATTTATATATATATAAAAATATACAAAAATTATCTCGTCTGCCTCTCTTGTTTTCTACTCGCTGTGCCCAACAGGGTCCAAAATTGATCTATATTGAATTATACATACCAACTGCTTACTCTAAACTTCTTTCTTTAAATTTATGGAATGCAAAGCTTTAATAAATATATAAATTGTAACCTAAGCGTATTGTTTTAGGTTCTATATTCCTGTGGATTTACTGGCCGTCTTTCAACTCCGGGCTGACCAACACCGACGTGGAGTATCAGAGAGCTGTCATCAACACATACCTGTCGCTGGCTGCAGCCACGGTGAGTTTAGACATACTCTGTATTGAGGGGCGGATCGGGAATTTATGGGCCCTGAGCTATATCTACTTAGGGGCCTACCTATCGTACCTAATTATATTACTCAACTAAAAAAAAATACGAAAATTCCCCGTTCCTTAGACGCGCACTTGCATGGGTTTATTTTTTTTTTATTAAGTATTTTACGGCGCTGGAAATTTCCTTTCAGCCAAACAATTATATTCTACAAATACAAATCAACTATTAATTACTAGGTACGATCTCAGTGTTACCAACCTTATGATAGGTTTTTTAACATTCTAGATATTTTTTTATATTCTAAATATCGTTTCAGTGGGGACTGGGTGGCCTTTGTATCCTCGGGGCCTTGGGCTGCAGCCCAAAAAGGCCTTAAGGCAGATCCGCCTATGTCTGTATTAACACTAACAAACTGTTTCTTTCTTAATTCATGACTGCGTGTAAGCCCCTTACACGCAGTCATTCAAGTATTACGTATGTAAGCACTATAAAGGGGCGGGGGGACTTTGTTTTGCTTATTTTGGATAACATGGGGGGCAGGGGAGTCTAGATGATGATTACGTCATCACTAGTTATTTACTTTTTTACACGAATGGCAACCTTCACATTGTCTTTGCTAAAAAACAATATATTAATTGAAAAATGTTTACGTAGTCATGTTGGAGGGGGTAAGAGCTTTGCTTATTTTGCTGACAAGGGGGATGAGGGGGGGGTTATTTACCCCATTTATTGTAATAAATCTGCTTACGTAATACTCGAATGTAAACTTACAAGGATTATTTAAAAGAGCAACACACAAGTTTCTTGCTCGTTCTTCTTGTGATGAGACAGCTTTCCGAATGAGCGGTAGATTAAAAAAAAATATGACTATTCAAAAGTGCTTAAATTAAGTTTATTTGAATGAATGATTTTCTATTCTTATTCTATTCTATTCCAACAGCTCCTAATCGAACTATCAAAGATTTTTTTGTCAGATCTACACATTTATATAAAACTCACAGTTATATAATTCAAATCCTGCGGTTTCACTCGTATAAAATTTATAGCCTATTTGTTAATCTGATGTATAAGCTATATTACCATAAAACTTCCACAAAATACGTTTAGTAGTTTTAGCGTCTAAGAGTAACAAACATCCATACATCCATCTATACCCACAAAATTTCGAGTTTATGATTCTTAAATTAATCTTCAAATATTTTTGTAGCATACGACTAATAGGTGCCTGATAAACAGTCATAAAATCTCACCAATCTATCCTGTAAGGCAGTGATTCCCAAACTGGTATATATCGACCCCCATGGGTCTATGACAAACTGCAAGGGGTCTGCGACACCAGTCATCTTGTTGTTTTTACTTTATATTTTCAACACTAAACTTTACTACAGTTAGAAATTTCCAAAAAAAACAATACCAGGTAAGAATCTACGGGTCTACCCGAAACCGAAAAATATGGCAAAGGGTCTACGACACAAAAACCTCTGCTGTAAGGTGTATATTTATCACGAACTTAATAGTAAAACGAAAATGTAAAAATAAAAATTTTACGTAAAAAAACGTTTGTGAAAAATAAGTATATATATGTATATATAAAAACAGATGTCTGTCGCCAACAGACATTATTCTAAAAATGACTAACTTGAGTTTTCTCAACTAATTTTCAAGAAAAATGTTCACCTGTACGAATTTACTATATATATAAATCTATACATATAAATAAAATCGGAGTGTCTGTTTGTAATACTGAAATAAGCATTTTTTTACTACATGCATAACATGAATATAAATACGTTACATACACCAAAATAACATTTTTTTACAATTTTGTCTGTATGTCTGTCTGTCTGTTTGCTCCGGCTAATGTTTGAAATGGCTGGACCGATATTGTCTGCAGTTTTTTTAACAGATAGCTGATGTAATAAGGAGTAACTTAGGCTACTTTTATTTTAGAAAAATGAAGTTAAATTCCAAGCGGACGAAGTCGCGGGTACAGCGAGTATGTTATAAAGTTGTTGTAACGAAGTAAGACCCACGTACTGTGGATTCAAACTTTACCAATTTTACGATACTTTGGAGGCTTGTAACTCGCAAAGACGGTTCACCTAATCACAAAACTCCTGGAACAGTTCAGATGGCATTCAAGAAGATCTGGTTCAAGATAACTCATTTGATATTACACAGCACACCGTCTTACTATATATATATATAGTCGCGGGTTCGACTCCCCCCCCCCCCCCCCTGGCTGACGGGGCACCAGTGCAGGATGATAAGATGAACATGAGGTCAAGTCAATCAGTCTATCGTGACAAATTCACCAGGAATTTATCACACTAGCGGGAACCGCGTGGAGGTCAAGCTGACATGGTAGATTGCTAGTAATTGGGTCATGAGTCCATATTACTAACAATCCGTGTACAACATTTTTTTTTAAATAATACGAGCTGAGTTTCTTGTCAGTTCTTCTCATCTCGAAATCATTCCGAACTGACGGTAGATTTGACATATCATAAGAGTCTGTAATAGACCTACATGAATAAAGATATTTTGAATTTGAATTTTTCCCCCCTAATATGAGAGTGTTACGTACAGACAGATGTAATATATTTTATTAGATGATAGTGATAGTATCATTACATAGTATAAAACAAAGTCGCTGTCGCCGTCTGTCCCTATGTATGCTTATATCTTTAAAACTACGCAACGGATTTTGAAACGGTTTTTTTAATAGATAGAGTGATTCAAGAGGAAGGTTTATATATATAATATATGTACACCCGTGCGAAGCAGGAGCGAGTAGCTAGTTGCATATAAACTATTGAATTGAAAAATTAAATTGATAAATGTACAGTTTAAAATATAGTATTAAATTATAACTCGTTAATATAATATTAATTCTTAGAAATAGTGAGTAGAGCAAACAAAATGTAGTGATTGAGTTGAATATAAAGAGATAACATCAATTCAACAAACTAAGTATTCAAATATCAATCAATACAGTCTACGGTCTAGACTGAGCTATAATGGGGCAATACATATATATATACATATAAATAAAATCGGACTGTCTGTTTATAATATTGAAATATTCGTTTTACTACATGCATATGAATATAAACTGTACATACATCAAAATAATATTTTTTACAATTTTTCGTCTGTCTGTCTGTATGTTCCGGATAATCTCTGAAATGGCTGGACCGATTTTGACGGAACTTTTATTGGTAGGTAGCTGATATAATAAGGAGTAATTTATGTTACTTTTTATATAAATTTTATCTGTCTGTCTGTCTGTCTGTTTATTCCGACTAATCTCTGAAATCTCCGGAACAAACAGACAGACAAAAATGGTAAAAAATGTTATTTTGATGTATGTATCGTATTTTATATTCATATGCATGTAGTAAAAAACGATTATTGAAATAATCGTTTTTTATATAAACAGACACTCCAATTTAATTTATATGTATAAATGTATTGATTACATTCAAAGTTTGAGTTCAGTTATCCCAATAGATGATACCAATAGAGCCAAAATGTACATGAAAGGGTACACGAGCCTTCCATTTACTCTTACTATATCTCTGGCTACCATATACCTGATATGTCCAACAGTCATAGCTGGGGGAAGGGGATTATTAGTTCCCCTGACTGATGACTGATGGTCCCCAGACTGATGGTCCCATTGCTAACAATGTACCATGTCAGGAAACCATCGTGATAAATTCCTGGTCAATTTGTCACGATGGACTGATTGACTTGACCTCATGTTCATCTTATCATCCTCCACTGGTACCCCGTCAGCCGGGGCGGGAGTCGAACCCGCGACTATGTACGTGATTGTTAGTAATGTGGACTGATGGTCCCATTGCTAACAATGTACCATGTCAGGTTGACCTCCACGCGGTTCCCCCTGGAAACCATCGTGATAAATTCCTGGTCAATTTGTCACGATGGACTGTTTGACTTGACCTCATGTTCATCTTATCGTCCTCCACTGGTGCCCCGTCAGCCGGGGCGGGAGTCGAACCCGCGACCATGTACGTGATTGTTAGTAATGTGGAGTGATGTTCCCATTGCTAACAATGTACCATGTCAGGTTGACCTCCACGCGGTTCCCCCTGGAAACCATCGTGATAAATTCCCGGTGAATTTATCACGATGTGCTAACTGACCTGACCTCAAGTTCATCATATCATCCTCCACTGGTGCCCTGTCAGCGTAAACCGTTAACGCAGACGGGTGCATCATTCCATTATTATTAAAAAAAAAAACAGTCATAGCTTGAAGCAGTAGTAATTCAATTACTTGGACCATACCCTGTTCAAATTCAAATTCAAATTCAAAAATCATTTATTCATGTAGGACATTTTAACCACTTATGAACGTCAAGTTTTTACATTATAATTTTTTCCCTACCGTCCAGTTCGGTATATAGATCCAATTGAGAAGAACTGGCAAGAAACTCAATAGAATTACTTTTTTTTAAAAGCCAGTTTATTTACAATGCATAGGTATTTATATAGATGTCTATGTCTTACATTAAATGAAAATCCCGAACATGAAAACTATTGCCATGCACGCTCGTCATTCAAGTAATCGTTTAGTGAGTAATAGGCCTTGCTCAGTAAATATGATTTAACGGATGTTTTGAATTTATTTAAGGGTAATTCCAATATATCCTGTCAATATATCCTGTGTAATGGGGTACTTCATCAACTGGTATCCTTGTAGGTAAAGTTGGTCTTAAACCTTATGTTTATCCAGTTTACGCCACGCATGCCTGTACTAATCTGAAGTAGGTGCGGCGAGCCTGCCATCTTCACGCACATTAATTTACCCTCGGTGTTTTAACATCGCTACTAATGTAGAGTTTTGTAATACCAATTATATTATTTATGGTAATACTCACCCAATTTTACACTTCACGTGTACGTTATAATATTTTCGTTAAGATGTACTTGAATTTTCATTTGTTTTTTTTTCTATAATAATAATAATAATAATGATCTTAAATAAAACCTTTAATTTGCCTTATTTTTAAGTACATATTATTTGTATTTCACTGTTAGTTTTCAAAATAAATAATAATCTCAGGACAATCCACACAGCGCCATCTAGACCCAAGTTAAGCTAGCTAAAGCTTGTTTTGTGGGTATAACTGATACAAATACATAGTTTTTTTTTGTATACGTAGATAACACCTAGACCGATACAAACAATCATACTCATGAAAACAAATGTTTGTGCCGTGCGATGAATCGAACCCGCGACCATCGGATGTAAAGCAGAGTGTACTAAACCGCTAGACCACCGAGATCGTAAGACCAGGTGTAACAAACATCCATACTCAGAAAATTTCGCGTTTATATCATTACTAGCTACCAACCCCGGCTTCGCCCAGGTGTACATGTATTATACATACAAACCTTCCTCTTGAATCAATGTATCTATTAAAAAAACGGCTTCAAAATCCGTTGCGTAGTTTTAAAGATTTAAGCATACATAGGAACAGACAGACAGCGATATTGTTTTATACTATGTAATGATTAAGATCAAGATAAATTACCGTAGCTGTTAGGGAAACTACTCTCTGCTACCAAAATATTAGGGAAAGTACTATGTATATATATAGGGAAAAACGTCTGTCACGTACCTGTATGGTTCTGCGGATTTCTTGGGCTTCAGGGTCTCGAAGATATCTTCGCTAGCTTTCCAGTTTCACAGTAGGTTTCACAGTAGGTTTAACAGTTCTAATTTATTTTAATTCACAACACAATGCGCGCGCGCGTCAAGGCACGTACGGTCAGTTCAGTACTGTAGGTAAGGGAGGGGAACAGAAACCGCGGGAACACAAACTAACGGACTCTAATATAATAATCTGTGCTTACGATGGTACAGGGTAGATTTTGAACAGTAGCTATAATTATTAATAAAAAAAATTATGCATATAACAATTGCAACCGAACGAAGCCGGGACGGGTCACTAGTGTTTAATATTCGTAAATATTACCAGTTACTTTGTTTTACTCGTAGTACTAAAATTTTTGACATACTTAAAGTTAGCGCCTTAGCTTTAAGCTGAGTAATGTGTGGAATTTAATGAGATCACCTGCCTAGTGGGAGACGCTACGCCGGCCCGACGCCGCGCCGGGGCCCAGGGTGTGGTAACATGACACCGAGCGTGGTACACACTCGCGACGACCTTCAGGTCACAATGGTGGAATGTTTAGTATTTCATGATTAAGTCTTATGTGTATTTCACTCGTCTATATATATAAAATTCCAGTGTCATATTGTTAGTTGCAATACATCTCATAAACGGCTTAAGCAATTTTGATGAAATTTGATATGTATTGAGGTAGGCTTGTGAATAGGTTGTTGCCTATATTATCTATATTTTAGTTAATTTTGGGGTTGAACACCCTTATCACTTAGTACCCCCTAAGTGATAACCCCAAAATTTTTACCATGTACTTTTTTATTTTCATGATAGATGATGTCATTAAAAAAATACATACAATATAAATTTTCACTCCATCTACTATTGAAGGAACTACTATTTTTTATTTTCATGATAGATGATGTCATTAAAAAAATACATACAATATAAATTTTCACTCTATCTGCTATTGAAGGAACTACTATTAAAAAAATGAACTCTACCACATTTTTTCTCCTCGACTAATTTTTCTTCCCATAACTCAACACTCAACTTTTCTACAGACTACAGACTATTTTTTTTTTTAAATAACTTCCACAACTTTTATCTCTAATTTTTTAACAGCGATATTAATTTATATGGCATAACCACGTTTGCTGAGTAAGCCAGTTACATTATTATATTAGTTCTCGCTGCCTCAGACAACGGTTCCTCTAGAACAATGTGCAACAAGAAGAGAGAATAGAATAGAATAGAACAATATTTATTACATCACAACAATAACGATTTTTGACAGCAGCATATAAATTATTATATCAAATTACTAAATAAATGCATTAAATTAGAGATGAAATCAAATATATATCAAAAAAGATTCTCTTTCCTTATATTCTCATTCTTGACACTTCTTTCTTCTTCTCCATCCTCGCCTTCCCGTTAAGCGGGTTCCGCGTTCCTAATCTTGATGATTCCTAATCATTTCGCTGGTAAGCATCATCATTTGACAGGCCCAACTTCTTCATGTACCTATGAACAATCAGCCAGTTAGTTAGTGGCCTGTCTCGTCCTCTTTTCATTGTAACCACGGAAAGGCACTCACTCGGTCTGGACACAAATCAGATATATAAAATTCTCATGTTTCGTGTTTATACTCCACCGAAAAGCTTGACCTATTTTGATGGAATTTTAAATGTCTATTCAGTAGGTCTGACAATAGGTTTATAACTAATTTTTATACCACTAAGTGTTAATGTTCAACCCAAATTCTTTTATCGATAATTTTTTGTATTTTTTTATTATTGCCATTAAAAAATACATACTCTAGATTTTCACCCTACTATCACCAACCCCTATTTTTTATAGCGTTATTAATTTATATGGCAAAACAACGTTTGCCGAGACAGCTAGTCATTACATAGTATAAAACAAAGTCGCTGTCGCTGTTTATCCCTATGTATGCTTAAATCTTTAAAACTACGCAACGGATTTTGACTTGGTTTATTTTAATAGATAGAGTGATTTAAGAGGAAGGTTATGTATAATACATGTAGACCCGTGCGAAGCCGGGCCGAGTAGTTAGTATTAATATAAAGATTACCATGAAAATGTCAACAGGTGACAACGTTCGTGGTGTCGTCAGCTGTGAGCAAGCACCATGGCAGGCTGGACATGGTGCACGTGCAGAACTCGACGCTGGCGGGAGGGGTGGCCGTGGGCTCCGTGTGCAACATGGAGGTCGGCCCCGGAGGCGCCATCGTTGTGGGCGTGGGCGCCGCCCTGGTCAGCGTGATCGGGTACACCTACCTCACGGTCAGTTACTATGACATTATGGTTGATTGGGAGAGAATGCTATATCATTTTTTTATGGATGATAATGGAATGGTGCACCCGCCTGCGCTAACGGTTTATGGTGTGGAGGATAATAAGATGAGTATGAGGTCAGGTCAGTTAGCACATCGTGACAAATCACCAAGAATTTATCACGATGGTTTCCAGACGCAACTGCGTGGTGGTCGACCTGACATGGTACATTGCTAGCGATATGATCATCAGTCCACATTACTAACAATCTACTTTCCCAACGGAAATGCTATAGCATTGAGTCCACCCTTTGTAGCAATTTTAGCAAACAAATAAATAAATAATAATGAACAAATCTTTTATAAGATGGCATCTGTTTAAACATGTATAAGCTCATTCAAAAACAATACGAGTTGAGTTTCTTGTCAGTTCTTCTCATCTCGAAATCATTCCGAACTGACGGTAGATTTGACATATCATAAGTCTGTAATAGACCTACATGAATAAAGATATTTTGAATCTAAAAAAATATCCATGGACAATCCACACAGCGCCATCTAGTCCCAAAGTAAGCAAAGCTTGTATTATGGGTACTAGATAACTGATATAAATACTTACCTATTTTTTTTGTAAATATATACATAATATAAATAGAAAACACCCAAACAGATACAAACAATCATACTCATGAATACAAAATTAATACCCTGCGAATCGAAACATCGGAAATAAAGCGGTGTGCTAAACCGTTAGCACCACCGAGGCTGTCAATACATGGACACATAAGTAACTTATAATTTTGTTTTGTCTAAATCCCCTACGTTACTCCTTATTACTCCAGCTACTTGCAAAAAAAGTACCGTCGAAATCGGTCCAGCCATTTCAGAGATTAGCCGGAACAAACAGACAAACAGACAGACAAACATTGTAAAAAATGTTATTTTGGTGTATGTACCGTATTTATAGTCATATGCATGTAGTAAAAAACGGTTATTTCAATATTACAAACAGACACTCCAATTTTATTTATATGTATAGATTATATTATAGTACATATACCACCGCTGAATCTCATAATCGACATGTCCATTTAACGCTGTTGCGGTCTAGTGGTCTAGCAGTTTACCACAACGCCTCAATTTCAGATAATTTCGGGTTCGATTCCTACAGTATAAATAATTGTATTCATAAGTAGGACTGTTTGTATTGGTCTGGATGTTTCCTATGTATATTTCTTATGGATGATATAACGATAATAAAATGGTGCACCCGTTTGTGCTTACGGTTTAATTTGGCGGGGCACCAGTGGGGGATGATGAGATTAACATGAGGTCAGGTCAGTTAGCACATCGTGGCAAATTCACCAGGAATTTATCACGATGGTTTCCAGAGGGAACGGCGTGGAAGTCAACCTGACAACCAACAATCCTTGCTATATATAGGAAGGGGATCGTTGGTTGTCAGTTGTGTATGTATTTCGCATGCCTAATCCTTGTTGTTAATTAAATATAAGTAAATATATATATATTTAAAAGAGCAACACACAAGTTTCTTGCTTCTTCTTGTGATGAGTCTACATTCCGAATGAACGGTAGAGTAAAAAAACTTGACTATTCAAAAGTGCTTATATTAAGTTTATTTGAATAAAGATTATTTATATTTCTATAAAAAAAAATATCTATCTACTGCTATCAGTTGTCTAGTACCCATAACACAAGCTCTGCTTATCTCGGATTCATAAGAATATCCTTCAATTCTTGTCCCTGACGGGTCTAGGTAGCGAGCTCTGAAAAAGGGCGAGCACAATAGATCTATGTAGGTCGCAGTGCTGCAGGTACTACAGGCACCTGAAAATAGCCCAAAAAACCCAATAAAAAAAATAAAAAATATATCTCGGGACTAGTTGATCGGACTATGTATATTGTTGAGAGATATTAACTAAATGTTAAAATGAGTTCTGTTGTATGTTGCAGGTGCTACAGGCACCTGACAAAAGTCAAAACCCAATAAAAAAAATATATCTCGGGACTAGTTGATCAGACTGTCTGAATTGTTGAGAGATATTAACTAAATGTTACAATGAGTTCTGTTGTATGTTGCAGGTGCTGCAGGCACCTGACAATAGTCCAAACCCAATAAAAAAAATATATCTCGGGACTAGTTGATCAGACTGTCTGAATTGTTGAGAGATATTAACTAAATGTTACAATGAGTTCTGTTGTATGTTGCAGGTGCTGCAGGCACCTGACAATAGTCCAAACCCAATAAAAAAAATATATCTCGGGACTAGTTGATCAGACTGTCTGAATTGTTGAGAGATATTAACTAAATGTTACAATGAGTTCTGTTGTATGTTGCAGGTGCTGCAGGCACCTGACAATAGTCCAAACCCAATAAAAAAAATATATCTCGGGACTAGCTGATCAGACTGTCTGAATTGTTGAGAGATATTAACTAAATGTTACAATGAGTTCTGTTGTATGTTGCAGGTGCTGCAGGCACCTGACAATAGTCCAAACCCAATAAAAAAAATATATCTCGGGACTAGTTGATCAGACTGTCTGAATTGTTGAGAGATATTAACTAAATGTTACAATGAGTTCTGTTGTATGTTGCAGGTGCTACAGGCACCTGACAAAAGTCAAAACCCAATAAAAAAAATATATCTCGGGACTAGTTGATCAGACTGTCTGAATTGTTGAGAGATATTAACTAAATGTTACAATGAGTTCTGTTGTATGTTGCAGGTGCTACAGGCACCTGACAGTAGCCCAAACAATCCAATAAAAAAAATCTCGGGACTAGTTGATCGGACTATGTGTACTGTTGAGAGATATTAACTAAATGTTAAAATGAGTTCTATCGTATGTTGTACAGCCGCGGCTCACCAAGTTGGGTATCTTGGACACTTGCGGCGTGCACAACCTGCACGGGATGCCCGGTGTCTACTCCGGACTGCTGTCGGTGCTGTTCGCTGGGATCGCCACCCAGCAGACCTACGGGGCAGAGGAGCTGGTCAACGTATTTCCTAGACTGGCCACGGTAAGTGACCGTTGCACCTGTAGAACTAAATGTATGAACTTGTAGTCTGGTCGGCGAATAAGCTATAGGCTTCTTCCAAGCTATATCTAAACTCTATTCATCGCCTGTTGATGCTTCAATTATCAACGAAACGAACGAACGAACGAACTGTGAAGAGAACGAGAAGCTGTGGTAAGGTATCAACACTGACGGAAGGTCTTAATGCTTGTAGAAGCGGTAGTAAGGTATCCACACTGAGGGAAGGTCTTAATGCTTCTAAAAGCGGTAGTAAGGTATCCACACTGAGGGAAGGTCTTAATGCTTCTAGAAGCGGTAGTAAGGTATCCGCACTGAGGGAAGGTCTAAATGCTTGTAGAAGCGGTAGTAAGGTATCCACACTGAGGGAAGGTCTTAATGCTTCTAGAAGCGGTAGTAAGGTATCCACACTGAGGGAAGGTCTTAATGCTTCTAGAAGCGCTGGTAATTGTATCCACACTGAAAGAAGGTCTTAATGCTTCTAGAAGCGGTAGTAAGGTATCCACACTGAGGGAAGGTCTTAATGCTTCTAGAAGCGCTGGTAATTGTATCCACACTGAAAGAAGGTCTTAATGCTTCTAGAAGCGGTAGTAAGGTATCCACACTGAGGGAAGGTCTTAATGCTTCTAGAAGCGCTGGTAATTGTATCCACACTGAAAGAAGGTCTTAATGCTTCTAGAAGCGATGGTAAGGTATCAACATTGTGCTAAGGTCTTAATGCTTCTAGAAGGGATGATAAGGTATCCGCACTAAGGGAAGGTCTTGATGCTTCTAGAAGAGGTGGTAATGTATCCACATTGAATATATGTGGTCTCACATATGCTAATGGTAGCGGAATTCAACAATAATGTAAATTTATTCACTAATAACCCTAGGAATTTTTATTCGTCACTTCTTTTCAAGTCCTGACGCAAAAGAGAAGTGTTTCAAGTGAGACTTGTCTGCCTCTCTGTTAGTTTACATTAGTGTTGTACCCAAGGCAATGAAATTACATGATAAGAGGCATGGCATCTTGGTCCTCTGGAATGTCAGCCTCAGTGATGTAGTGGTTTAGCACACCGCTTTACTATACGATGGTCGTGGGTTCGATTCCTCGCACGGTACAAACATTTGTATTCATGTGTATGATTGTTTGTATGCATCTGGCTGTTTTCTATGTATATTATGTATCTATTTACAAAAAGGCATCTATGCATTTATATCACTTGTCTAGTACCCATAACATAAGCTTTGTGTGAATTTTCCTATTAATAATAATCTCAGGACAATTCACACAGCGCCATCTAGACCCATGTCAAGCGAGCTAAAGCTTGTGTTATGGGTACTAGATAACTGATACAAATACATAGATATTTTTTGTGTAAATACGTACATATTATACATAGAAAACACCCAGACCGAGACAAACAATCATACTCATGAATACAAATGTTTGTGCCGTGCGAAGAATCGAACCCGCGACCATCGGTCGTAAAGCGGTGTGCTAGACCGCTAAACCACCGAGGTCGTCAATATATTATTATATTATTATTATGTATAATAATAATAACCCGTTTCATTTAAATTAGCATATTTGGTTAGTTCTATGTCCCGAACCAGCGTTTGCTGTGTATCAAAACTCAACCCCACGTTACCCAATACACGTGTTGAATAAAAAATGGAGTGATTTAACAGAATAACATACAAACATGTAGCTATTGTTGCTATTGTTATAAATTATACATATATATTTTTAATATTCGCTCAAGGATAAGCTATCACAATATTACTACTGATTAGAGTCGAATCCATTGTTGGAGATAGGATATCAACATTTCTTACTATTCACGAGTTATTCAATACAATTCACTTATAAAGGAAATATGTACGCGTGACCGACTCACTAGTATATGATTTTAGATTATCATTGTAAATCATTGTGATATATTAGTAAATTATTGTGATAGACCTATATATTATAGTATTTTGGGGGTAATAATTTATTTATTTATCTAAATATATATAACTCAAGGGTGACTGACATAGTGATCTATCAACGCACAGCCCAAACCACTGGACGGATCGGGCTGAAATTTGGCATGCAGGTAGATGTTATGACGTAGGCATCCGCTAAGAAAGGATTTTAATTTATATTATGGCCAAGGGGATAAAATAGGGGATGAAACTTTGTATGAAACTTTGTCGATTTTAAACCGATCGGGCTGAGACTTTGCATGCATAAAGCTACTACGACGTAGGCATTCCCTAAGAAAGGATTTTGATAAATTCCACTCCTAAGGGGATAAGTTAACGCGAGCGAAGCCGCGGGCAAAATCTAATTTATTTATATAACTTTAATGCACACAGTAGGAAAGTAACAGTACAGTACATTTGGCGGACTTAACACCAGGCGGTATTTTCTACCAGGCAACCATAGGTGGTGCAGAGAAAAATAATCATATTCATGAATACAAATGTTTGTACCGTGAGAGATATCGAACAAGGATGTTATGGATATGAAATTTCGGATACGGATAGGTTTCGGATATAGGAATGATTATTATACCGGATACGGATACGGATGCGGATATGAAATTATTTCAGATCATCCGTTAGTTTCGGATAATTTCGGTTACGGTTATAAATTTTTTAAGGAATTTCAAAAGTAAAATGCAAATAAAATGGTTACATAACGTGTCTCAATTAGGGGCGGGCCCAATCCGGTATTATTCAAAACTTTTATTTCGCATTCGGTTACAGTTATGAATATTCTTTTATATCGGATAACCAATAGTTTCGATTACGGTTACAGAGCTTCCTAACATCCATGATATCGAACCCGCGACCATCGATACGACCTCGGTGGTCTAGCGGTCTAGCACACTGCTTTACGAACGATGGTCGCGGGGTCAATCCTCGCACGGCACAAACATTTGTATTCATGAGTATGATTGTTTGTATCGGTCTGGGTATTTTCTAAGTATAATATGTATGTATTTACAAAAAAAATAGATATCTATGTATTTGTATCAGTTATCTAGTACCCATAACACAGGCTTTAGCTAGCTTAACTTGGGTCTAGATGGCGCTGTGTGAATTGTCCTGAGATTATTATTATTATTTATATTCTTTACTAGTTAAATAAAAGAAAAAAACATATTACGTCGACGCCAAATAAATGGGATAAGGAAGAAGTCGATGATGATGATTCTTTACTTGTTTAGAATTAACTAGTAAACTAAGTGTACAGTGTACACCCTGTATCCCAGTCGTAAGCAACGCCACCCGATACAGCTAGTTAGTTATCTATACATATAAATAAATTTTGAGTGTCTGTTTGTAATATTGAAATAACATTTTTTACAATTTTTGTCTGTCTGTCGGTCTGTTTGTTTCGGCTAATTTCTGAAATGGCTGGACCGATTTTGACGGGAGTTTTTTTTGCAGGTAGCTTATATAATAAGGAGTAACTTAGGCTACTTTTATTTTAGAGAAATAAAGTAAAATTGCACGCAGACGAAGTCAAGGGTACAGCTAGTCTATATATTTAAACAGTAGGTAGATAGATATAGTATTAATTCTGAATTAATTTAAATAACTTTTACTTTGAGAGTGGTTTTATACAAATGTTAATTGCGTATTAATTTCATTAATATTGCTGTTTGTAATAGAAATTGTAATAGTAATTGACGGCCGGTGGTTTAGCGGTTTAACAGACCGCTTTACTTCCGATGGTCGCAGGTTCGATTCCTCGCACGGTGCAAACAGTATTCATGAGTATGATTGTTTGTACCTGGGTGTTTACTATGTATATTATGTATGTAGTTCCAAAAATATATCTAAGTATTTATATCAGTCGTCTAGTACCCATAACACGAGCTCTTACCTTGGGACTAGATGACGCTGTGTTAATTCACCAGAGTTATTTACTATTTTTTTTATGAATGATAATGGAATGCTGTCCTCGCCTGCGCTAAGGTTTACCCTGGCGGGGCACTAGTGGAGGATGATGAGTTGAGCATGAGGTTAGGTCAGTTAGTACATCGTGACAAATTCACCAAGAATTTATCACGATGGTTTCCAGACGCAACCGCGTGGAGGTCAATCTGACATGGTACATTGTATATTATCTGCGAGTGAATAGGTAGAAAGGACAAAAGGAGCTCACCGGTGAATTCTTTCTTCGACTTCTCCCGATGATTCTCGGCGCTGGTTCTCTTTTCTATTCACCAAGACTAATATTTTTATAATGTTTTTCTTAAAACTTCTTGATTAACAAACACAACACATTACGGATTTATTCTCACTTTATGCGTTTATTATATAATAGTTTTGTACAGGCGGATAGCGAATTGAGCAGCGTTAGCGATGGCGGCCGGCGGTGAACTTGAACTTGAACTAACTGGGCGGAAGTCGTCTTTCTATTTCTTCTTGTCCTTTGACATGTTGCATGGTTTCAGGAAGTAGGACAAGGAAGGACATACATGGGATGAGTATGCGTGAGTGAGACAGATATGCAAATTAAAACGCGCGCTTATGTTTCTATTATATTGGTAGTTAAAAATGAATGAACGAGATGCGCGGCTGCGTGTGAGTGAAATAGAGTATTGATCGAACTATCGCTGCGTAAGGAAAGTATAGGTAAAAATGAAATAATGTTACGTTTCGGCGTAAACAACTTCCCTGGCCTAGAGGTTTTCCTCTAAACAAAGTAAGTTAATTGAATGCGGTAATTAAGTAAAATTAAAATAAAATAAGCGAACGATAAAAAAAAAAAATGCATGCGTATAAGAAAATTAATTGTATTACTGGAGAGGCAAGGGGCAAATCCTAACTACAGGTCGAATATAAGTTCCTGACAAAGTTTTAACGCGCACAGTACGAACGATATTATCTTTACCAGGATAAAGTTCATCAATAACACCCAGAGCCCAGCATAGTGGATGCGTATTATTATCTTTAATTATGACAACCATACCCCGATGAACAGGTGTAGATGGTGTATTCCACTTTTGTCTTTGCTGAAGGGAAGTGAGGTACTCTTGACTCCACCTCCGCCAGAAAGACTGCGTTATTTTATTCAGTAATTGATAGCGAGTAAGGCGATTATCAGCGTATTCAACATAATCCTCGGCGGGTAAAAATTTTAAGGGCGTGACGTTTAAAAAATGGTTAGGAGTAAGTGCGGCTAAATCAGACGGATCAGAACTCAACACACAAAGCGGTCTACTATTTAGTAATCCTTCTATCTGCACTAATACGGTATTGAACTCCTCGTAGGTGAGTATATGTGTACCTATTACTTTATTCAAATGTGTTTTTACACAACGGACATTAATTTCACACAAACCATTAAAATGCGGACCATATGGCGGACTATGTTTGAACTGAATACGTTGTTGTGAAAGTTGATCACCTATGTAATTTATATGAGCTTTAGAATGCAAAAGAGTGTAAATATTATCTAATTTACGCTTAGCGCCAATGAAATTGGTAC